CCCCCCCAAAACAGCGGAGGCGAAGAAGTCCTCCTCGACGTCGCCGGCCAGGACGGCACCGAAGCCTTCGAGGACGTCGGCCACAGCGACGAAGCCCGCGAGATCCTGGACGGTCTCTTCGTGGGGAACGTGAAGCGCATGGTTAGTTGGCCCCTGCCTGACCCTACAAACTCATTCCAACACAACCAAAACCAATGCTAACACTACCCCCCAAAAAAGCCCGGCGACCCCGCCCCCCGCTCGCATGCCAACCCCTCCGCCGCCTCGGGCTCTTCCTCCGGCGACGCCGCCGGTCTGGGCGTCGGCCTCTACGCCTTCCTCGTCGTCGGCGGTCTGATCGCCTACGGCGCCTACCAATATCTGCAGAAGGCTTCGCTTGCGTCTGAGCAGTAGACTTCTTTTTTGTTTGTTTGCGGGGTTTTCTTGTGCGTGTGTGTTGGGTTGTTTATTTCCGGTTTTGTTATTGATGTGTGTGCTCAAAATCCATACCGTATGTTCTTAATTCCCATTCCTTTTTTTTTTACATCATCGAAGGCTTTGAAAGAAGATCCCCCTTTTTTGTTATGTTTATGCCGGTCTTGCTAGATGAGTGGGTTCGGAATGTTGTGGAAGTGGGTGTATGCTCTAGTTATGGAGGGAAGAGATTCACGTCGCTCAGGTTCAGGGGAAGAAGCTTTGTTGATTGGGAGGTGAACGGTGGAAGGTGGAAGATATCTATACCATGTTCCATGAGTGCCGTGTGCAATCTCGGATATACTTGCAATCTTGGTGAACAATTACGCGAAAGGAGTGTCACTTAAAGTCAGAAGGCACTACCCCCCCTTTACTGGAGTGCAAATAAATCACAATTGGAGGTAGCTGTAGAGTAGAGTAAGATGAGAGTCGATAGGGCTAGCTCATGCATAAATCATGGCAGGAAGATAAAAAAAAAGACAATCCAACCGCTGCCCAAAAAGAAAAAAATGCTCATGGGATCTCTGATCGTAACAGTCTTCTTTTTATAAACATAACAACACAAATATAGAACTGTAAAGTAAAAGGAAAAAAGAAGTAATGGTAATCGTAGGTGTAGAAATGTTTAATGATGCTGAGAGGGAGGGAGGAGAGAAAAGCGTCCTGATTGTTTCCAAAACCCTTTCCTAGGTGAAACCACGTCTTGTTTTCTTGCACTCTGTATATTGTCGTCAATCCGTTTACCGGGAGTTACCGCTCGTGCCAGCGCGGACTGCCTCCAGGATCATGTCCTTGGCTTCCTCCAGACCGTCCTTGCTGCCCTTGATCTCGATCGCCTCGCCCTTGGCCTGGCCCTTGGGGACGTTGATCCGGCATCCCGTCTGCTTGCGGATCGCGTTGATCTGGCTACCACCCTGGCCGACGACGAAACGGTACGTCTTAGGGTCGGGCAGGATCAGGTAACCGGTAGCAGACTGTTGGGAGGCATTGGCGATGGCCTTCTCCAGAGCCGACTTGGCCTTGGCCACGTTGTCGCTGGTGCCGGCGAGCACCCACGGAATGGTAGCAGGCTCGGACGAGTCGGCGGGCGCAGGGCTGTTGTCGATCACCTTCCACGAGTGGACCTCGGCGGCATCGGTGGGCTCATCCGTGATCAGTGGCAGCGACGAGGCTCCGTTGACCTCGCCGCGAGACTCCTCCGAGACGGGCTTGGCAGGCACCTGTTGGCCAGCGTGATCGACGGTGACACGGTAATCGTTACGAAGACGGCGGAAGAACGAGCCATTGTCGGCAATCACATGGTGCAGGTGGCGGGGCACTTCAACCGTCTCACCCTGCTGATCCTTGAGCATACCGTCAATGTGCTCCTTGGCCTCGGCAACGGCTTGGCTGGGTCCCTTGAGCTTGATCTCGGTGCGGCCAGAGCCCTGCTTGGGGATGTCCAGGGTGATGTTGAACTTCGATTCAATGTTGCGGCGGGTATCACCACCGCGGCCAATCAGAAGACGGTGTTGGATAGTGGGAACGTCAAGAGTCACCGTCACCTGATCCGCACGCTCCTTGACGAATTCTTCGATGGCAGCGATGATCTTGTCAACAACCTGTTCGTTTCCTTCCAGCTTGATGGTCGACTCAGTACTGTCAGGACGGGGGAACTTGACCAGCCGAGAAGCACTGCCATCAGTGGGACCGCCAGCATCAGCAACGATCTTACGGATGTTGGCACCTGTTTATGATTAGCAAATTGCGTCGACTATTATTGCGGACCAAACTTACCGCCACTGCCGATGAGGGACTTGTGGTACTTCTTGTCCACGTCGATGGTCTTGGTGACGATGGAATCGAACTCGCCGGATCGTTGAAGCAGGGTTTTCTTGGCCTCTTCGACCTGCTGCTTGGTACCCCGGATCTTGATCTGCACGCGGCCCGACTCATCCGGTGCATCGTTGGCGCCCGGAACATCAATCTGGGCCCCGGTATCGGCGCGGAGCTTGTCCATCTCGCGACCGCGCTGCCCGATCAGGGAGGGGATCTGGGCCTGGGCCACCGACACAGTCGCAGTGTGGGAGTGGTCGACAACCCACTGCAACAGACTCAGGATTTCATCCCGTGCCGAGTCGGCACCCTTGCTGGGGCCCTTGATGATAACTTCGTCCGCAGCCTGCTGAGACCGGTTGGGGCGAGAGCCACCAGCTTCGCTGGAAGTCTCCTGGTCGTCACTGGCAGCTCGGGGGAACTGAACACGGACAGAGTAACGGTCCTGCAGTCTGTTCACCTGGCTACCCTTCTGACCGATCAGCTCACGGTGGTACTGGGCGGGGATCTTCAGAGTGTGAGTCGTCTCATCCTCCAATTTCTTTCCAAGGTTGATGATGCGGGTCTTGGCAGCATCGGCCTTCGCCTTGGGGCCCTTAACTTCAACCTTGCCGTTCTCGACCTTGATATCCACATCGAACTCGTCGCGCAGCTTGTTGATGTTCTCGCCCTTCTTGCCAATGAGGAAGTTAGCGAACTTCTGGGGGAAGTCGAAAGTCGTAGTGTAGCCTCTCTCAAGGTCATCCTTCTCCTGCTCCACAACAAAGTCCTGAATCTTGGAGATCAGGTCTTCCACCAGGCGGGAAGGACCACGAAGCGCAACTTCGGCCTCAGTACGGCTGGATCCTTCACCGACAATGGCACGGACGGGGATCTCCTCCTCGCCCTTAGACTGTTGTTCGCGGGCAATGAATTTCCGGACCTTGTCCTGGTACTTGCTGGGCACATTGATGGTCTTCGCCACGACTTCCTTCTGGTCGCCAAGAGCGCTCAGGAGGTAGTCCTGAGCTTCCTGGAGGACCTTTTCAAAGGTGGCAACTTCTGCGGGGGAAGGTCTTTGTCTTGGGATCTCGAATTGGCCAGCGTTAGACGAAGGGCCCTCGTAAACCATGAAAACGTCTGAGCTATCAAGGTCTTCGGGCACCAGGAGATGAACACCATAGTCGTTTTGAAGCTTAGGGATGGTGCGAGACTCCAGGTAGGGGTGGTAGTAAGGATCAACATTGACGGCACGGATTCTGGTCGGGGGGTGTGCTTGGACGAGGTTCATGATATCAGACCGCGCACGAATTGTGTTCTTGCCATCCCGAGAGTAAACTTCCCAGGTGACCGGGCCGTTAGAGCTGGGCGGGAGCGCAATGCGAGCATCATACAAATTCTCCAACTCCTTGATGATCTGGCGCTGTCTGAGGTAGCGAGTCAAGGCACGAGCATGGGCATGAGGTCCAGCAGGCGCATTGGGGTGTTGACGGGAGAGGTCAATGCTCGCCATTTGCATGCTCGTGGCGAGATCCATGGCCCTGTTAATGCCATTCTCGATGCAGTCAACAGGTCCCGTGATAGCAAGGAACTCGCTATCATCGGAATCGGGAGGCAGAACAATGGCGCAGCCAGTGTCGGCAAGGAATTCATGCAAAGCATCAGCATTGTCCCCGAGGATGAATTGATGTTGGCCGCGGTTGATGGCGAGTTGGCGCAGTGTCAGCTGGCGCTGCAGCTCGGCAGCAAGCCTCTCAATCTCCGCGCGAGCCTCCTGGGCCGCAGTGCGCTCACCAGAGATGTGGATGTGTCTGTCCGAAACAGGAGCGAACTGAACATGACCGGGGTCAGCCTCCTGAGGGGGAGGCTGGCTCTGCCAGGTGTCGTAACGCGGCACGTGCACTTGTGCCTTTGTGCGCTGCTCAATTTCCCGGAGTTGCGCGTTGTGAGCACCTGCGATGAAAGGGAAGAACTCGGGGGGGATAGTCTTCAGTCTCAAGCTCATGTTGGAAGCTCTCTCACGAACAATAGCCTCGATCTCACGACGAGCCATTTCCGCGGCAACGGCATCACCTTCGATCAACACGTCAATGGTATCATCGTCATCGAAATCATCAGCAGAGGCAGACTCGTCAGCACGCGGGACCTGAACACGCGCGCCTGTGCGTTGCTGAATGTCTTGAACCACAGCTCCTTGGCGACCAATGATGTGGGGGCGGGCGGATGTGGGGATGGGAACGCGGACGGATTGCTAGACGGAGATGTCAGTCATTCATGCCGTTGATGGACAGTGTCATCGACAAACCTTAGATCCGACTTGCTGTGCGACCTCCTTCAGCGCCTGTCTGACGGCATCCGCGGAACCTTTACCCTCGAAGATGATGGAGCCTCCCGGTCCACCGCGCATATCCACGTTAGCCTTGGAGCGCCGAGAAATGTCGCGCAGAATGTCGCGCAAAGGCTTCTTCATCTGGCCGCGGGGAAGCATCTGGGATGGTGCGAGCCGAAGCTGCTCCATGTGCTTTCCAGGCAGACTCATGATTCTCGGGACATCAGAAGCTGATTCAAAACCTGTGTCAGCCGCGAGGATCGGAGGATTATATGTGACTGGCCACTGGACACATACCTGCTTGTGCACCACTGGCGCCGTTAGCGACAGCAGCAGCGGAAGGACCGCGAGCACCCCAGGCCGAGACGGCGGGAGCCTTGGGCTTGGGCCCACTTCCAAGAGCAGGGAACAACTCCTCGGACTGCACGTCGAAAGCAGGGGCCTTCTTGGGGGCAGCCTTGGGGATGGACGGAGTCGCAGGCTGAGAGGAAGCATTGGACTCGGAGGCCTCGACCACCGAGGATGGGGGAGGGTGCTTGAGATCCTCCTCATCCACTACATCCTCCACGGTCACTTTGTGTGCCTCATCGCGAGCGTGCTGCTCCTCCAACATAGCGGCCCGGGACTTGGCGCCACCGTTGACATCGACTGCGACTGCTTCGGAAGCCATTGTAGCAGGACAAAGCGAAATGGGACGAATTGCACCGCAGATAGTGATTAGGCGATTGGGCCGAGAGAAGAATACAGACGGACACTAGCAGACGATGACGTTAGGATTAGGAAGAGGGGGACCAATGGAGAGAGAGGCGCAGTATACCAGCTAAACGCAGGCGTCCGTGTAATTATAAATGGATGTCGAGTAGCGGGGGATTGGAAAGGACTGATTGTTTTGATCACACCAATCCCTAAATGCGAGAGCCAAAAAAGGAGCAGCTGAGAAGCGAACAAAGTCAATTGCTATCTGCTGAGGCTAAGGGCTGTAGAAACGATAATTAAAGTCAAGATCGCAGGCGCTATTGCATCCCAGGACTGAAAATGAGGGGGGGAAGGAATTCGGAAAAAGTGGGAAGGCGGAACAAGAGGTAGGATGTGAGAGGGGGAGATGAGGAATTAGGAGAGAGGGGAGGGAAAGGGGGGGAGAGGTGAATGAGAGAGGGAGAGGAGGGAGAGAGGGTCAACGAATTGACACAATGGCGAGGTAGTAGGTAAAGATGAGGGTGGTGAGGATAGAATGAGAAGAGGTAAAGGTAAAGGGAAAAGAAGGGAATGGAAGAAGAGATGGAAGTTCGGGAAGAGGACAGACAACTGCCTGGAGGAGGGAAAGCATGCAGTAGTGATTATTCCTCTTTGGGCGATGGTCTGGAGTGCCACCGCCCAGAGCCGCCTTTCACTCACCACTTACAATACTTTCTCCCTCACTTGCTCCCTCTCTTTCAATTGCTGCTGCTGCTGCTGCTGCTGTCTCTGCTATGCCATCATGGCATAGATGACTGCCATGATGACTGCCATGATGACTGCCATGATGACTGCCGTTCCATCCAGTTGGAACCATAACCACACAGATCATTATTGAGCAGTGTTTTGAACCACACAATATCATCTTTTCTTTTCCGTGCTTCTGAATGGCCTGTCGACACTCCAGCTGCTATTTTCTTCTCATTTGAAAGGCTGTCCAAGCTTTGTTCCAATGACCGCCGACTGACTTCGACTTTCATGCTGAATGAGGCTGAGAGGAACGAATGAGAGCCAAAGGCTGACACATCCATGGACTTGCCTGAGTCCGGCTACTGACGTTACGGTAATCAGCAACACCCCACAAAACGTGAACTCACAAAGCTTTTTTAATGAGAACCAGAATGTGGAGAGATTTTGGGATCGGAAGAACGTATTTGCTTGAACCGAATCATGTCACGAAGTACAGTTGAGCTATTGTTTGGGTATAGGCCTCGACTCGGTCTCAAATGCGGCGCATGGCCTTTTCATATGGCGGCCATTACTTCCGCACTGCGGAAGTGTAGTTGATGACGACCATCATTGACCCCCCAGCTCTCGTTCCTTTGTTTGAAGGCTCATGCAGACAAGCGACACAGCATACCCTATGGCTGCTAGCTTCTGCCAAAATCCTTTCAACTTGCGGAGGTGAACATTGCACGGGCTGCCCTTCCGCAGTGAGGTGTGGCGGGATGTCCGATAGGCCGCCGGGGTTTGGTCCAGAGTCCGAGACAGATATTATTGCGCGGGCGAGATTGGACAATCGCCACTCAAGCAGAGGGTCACTGCGGGAGTTTCTGCCAAGACAAGCTTATCATAGGGTTGCACTTTTTTTTCCCGCTCCCCCTCTTCTTTTTTGGCCCTCCGCCGCGAAGGATCCTCTTGTAGATACGCCTATCTACACAATGCTCTTCTCGATTGCATGTAGGCCGGAGAGTGTACAAATCAGGCCGTCTGACAGTAGAGTGAACGCTGTTCAAAGTCTTGGTGGTGCTCTATAAGGTCACCGAGGTCGAAAACTTCTCGACCCACTCCGCTCCGAGCGTGCTGCAGAGAGAGACACAAGGGCCGATGTGGATCGCAACCTTAACCCAGACTGGTAGACTGTCTGCCACTGCACTGATGGACAAAAGATTGCTTGTTTAAATTTTCCTCTCGGGTTTGACAGCCTCATCATGACCCAAACAAGACAAGAATGGTATCTTGCCACGTGCTGCCCCAACCCTGGACTCGGGAAGTTCAACGGATTTTAGCCGGCGGAACATCTTCTTATCACCCAAGAAATATCATGATATCCGCGGTTCTGCTGATTTGAGATTAGACTGAGGGGGGGCAAATCGCCAACTGATAAGAGAAAAAACCGTGTCCCACAAATAACATTCCAAAGATTCTGGAAGGCAAAAGATAAAGCGTGCCTGGGAGTTGCCGACTCGAACCAAACGGTCCCATCCATTCCTCGGCTAGCGCCGCCTGCAGTTTCTGGGACTCTTTTTAATGCCATACACCAGTTTCTCTTATTAATTTTTTGGAATAAGCCGTGCTACATATAAATAACGCCCTGGCATTTTTCTGGGGAAGAAAAAAAAAGTTTCTTTCCTTCTTCCTCTTGCTGCGAGCGGTCGAACTGTCCCCCAAACAGCAGCAAGCAGCAAGCAGCAAGAAGAAGCCTCCAAAGGATGGAGTACCCCACACTGGAAGAGGGCCACAAGGTCGAGCCGAAGCTGTCAACAGCTGAGGTGGAGGAACAATCCCTGGTGAAACCCGCGGGATTCTTCCCTAAGGTCCTCTACTATGAGGCTCTGTTGGATAAGAAGTTGGGGATCGAATCCAACAGTATCGAGCGAGTGACGCCGGAGAAGAAGCAGCCTCCCAACACTCTGGCCATGGGCTTGATCTGGGCGTCTGCGACCATGAACCTCAGCTGTTTCAGTACGGGATTCTTGGGGTGGGAGTTTGGCCTCAGCTTGGGGCAGGTCATCCCCATCATCATCTGCGCGACACTTCTGGGCGGGGCAATCACGGTTCGCATACCATTCTCTTGATAGGCAGTCAAGAGTGCTTACGTCTTTCTCCAATAGGGTTGGTGTGCTACCTTGGGTCCCGGTACTGGTCTTCGCCAAGTCGCCATCTCTCGATATTCCCTAGGATTCTACCCATCGTCTATCATCGCCGCGCTGAACGTGGTCGAACAGCTGGGCTGGTCCTCTGTCAGTTGTATCACCGCCGGCCAGGCTCTCGTCGCCGTCGCAGATGGAAACATCTCGATCATCGTGGGAGTCATCATTGTGGCCTGCCTCAGTCTGGCCATCGTCTTCTTCGGCCTGAAAGTGGTGATGAGCCTCGAGCAGTGGATGTGGCTGATCGCCTTCATCATCTTTATGATCGTCTATGGGCAGTCAGGCAACCATGCCAACCTCGCCCAACCCGCTACAGTCTCCGGCTTGACCAAGTCCGGACAAGTCCTGAGTCTGATCAGTGTCATCTACGGATCCAGTGCCTCGTGGTCTTCCATCGTATCCGACTTCTACGTGCACTACCCGGTCAACACCTCCCGGGTCAAGGTTTTCTTCTTCACCACCCTGGGTATCTCCCTGCCGACCTGCATTGGCCTGCTGCTGGGCGCATGCATTGCCTCGGCGCTGGACACGAACGAGGAGTGGGCCGCTGCCTATGACGGCGGCATCGGCTACATGCTGCAGGAGCTCATTCATCCCAAGAAGTTTGCGAAATTCTGCTTAGTCCTGATGGTTCTGGCCAATGGTAAGCTTTCCCCATCACACGTACCAAATATACGGTACCCCGATACTGACTCCGTCCCAGTCGGTATGAATTGCATCAACATCTACGCCGCTTCCATCAGCGCGCAGTTGTTCGCCCCGCCCTTCCGCAAGGTGCCCCGCACCATCTGGACGGTGATCGTCTTCGGCTGCATTATCGCCATCGGCATCGCCGGTCGCGACCACCTGCTGACTGTGCTCAACAACTTCCTCTCGCTGCTGGGCTACTGGAACACCTCCTTCTTCGTCATCCTGTTCTGCGAACACTACCTTTTCCGCGGCGGCAACCTAGCCAACTACGACCTCGACGCCTGGGACACTCCCTCGCGCATGCCCATCGGCTTCGCCGGCCTGACCTCCTTCCTCTGCGGCGCCGCAGGCTGGATCGTCGGAATGGATGAGACCTACTACGTCGGCGCTCTGGCGAAGCTGATCGGCGAGGACGGCGGTGATATCGCCAACGAGCTAGCGCTAGTCTTCACCACCATCTCCTTCATCCCATTGAGATGGCTCGAACTGAAATATGTCGGACGGTGAAGGCTTTTGCGATTGGATTGAGTTTGTTTGGGGTTGGGACTTTTTTTAAGAGAGATTCTTGTCATCTCCATATATACATACATAACGAAGACATAATACCCGAGAAGGTAGTTAGGACACCTTGATAGGAATACATATATTCACCACTCATTCTATCACCTTGTTTTCAACCTCCATCCCATCCCATCTACAACTCGCATGCGTGCATGCATGCCACCAGAAAACGCAAGGCAGGGATGGATCTCCCCGATCCCGCACGCACAAGTCTCGCCAGCCCCATGGGAGCTTATTCCATCCAGGACGTTTATGTACAGCGCAGAACAGCCTTACATATCAAACCTTATCCCCCTCGCTTCCTCCCGGGGGAAAGCGGACGGGACTAGGTAAGCGGCCATGTCATTCCAACCTTACTTGCAGGTGGCCAACACCCCGCAAAGCTTGAATCTACTCCACTTGCAGTGGGTGCAAGTATGTACAGTACATACAGCGACAGCCACGAAAGTCTTCTTCTCTTCAGCCCCGACACTCTCTGGGAAATAGCGTTGCTACCGCTCCATCGACGGAAGCTCCCACGTGCCGACGATAGTGTTCTCGACCACAAAGCCGAATCAGAAATACGCGCACCATGCACATATCACCGTCGAGAACAAGGCACCTGGTATTCGCGAGTGACGCATGGGCGCAGAAACATGGCATCATCGCTGAATTCGAGCTAAAAAAAAATGAGAAAGAGAAAGACCGCTGAAAAGCTATCATACGCATACAAGATGAGCATCTCGGGGATGCAGCAGCAGCTGTATCCACTTACACATGGAAGTATACAAGTACCGCCGGTATAGGCCCAAAAGCCCCGTCCATACTAAGTGACGTGAGATGTGCATTATGAAACGGCGCGGTCGTTGGTAGGGAGAGTGCTTGGAAGCTCAATCGCCAACCTCCATTCCGCAAAGTGGCAACAGAAACCTGGGGCCAGATGACGGTACGGTCATCGTGCAATGACGATCTCGTCTCTAAGTGGATGAGCGAGCGTGTGCGGTGGGATTCAGAATGTACAGTACCGGCCCGAGCCTGGGATGTTATCCACTTGAATTTTGTAGATCGAAGAAGGGGTTTTGTTTGGGTCGTCTGAGATATTTCTCTTGGGTATGTGTCAGGTCTGGGGATATGCTGTACCACTGCGATTGTTGTTGATGTGGGTTGTGGATTTGCTGGCTGGTGGATGGAGGGGTACTACGTGTATCCGTGGGAGGTATACAGATAATCCGGAGAGGACTGTTTAGGTTGACGTCTATGCTAAGCACCAGGCAGACGGACATTTTCTCTCTACGCACATCGAGTACTCATCTGTGGTCTTAACACACCAGGTGCAATAGGCAAGTAGGGCTACCAATGCCCATCAGCACTGTATATGTACCGGCTCAAAGCTCTCAAAGAGGAAAGCCGGACCTCCAGCCCTGAGCAGTCCAGGTACCTGGATGGCGCCCAAGTTCTAGACCCTAATTCCAAGACCACAGCAGTACCACGGTGCACATACTCATAGCGTTGGTATCTGATCTCGGGCATGGTCGAATTGGCACCGCAACCACTGAAGCTTTCTTGGAAGGTCAATATGTCCGTCCTACCCATCCCTATTCCATCGAGCAACCAACCCCTCGCGATTTATACTTTCAACGGTAGGTCGATTTCGAAAGTCAGGGTCTATAGCACGGCTGCCTGCACACAAGTTGTCCCCTCGCTGGATCGACGACCACCAATCCCGATACCGGTAGGCTCCGTACGTTATCGCTGGATCTCGATTCCACCATCAGCAAAAGTTATTGCCGCTTCTCACTCCGGTCAGTGTGATGTGACACTTCATTCAATCAATAATCTGCGAAATACTGCAGCTTTTATTGGACATAGGTCGATTCGACTCTGCCATCGAGTTCCAGGGGTACGGGGAAGGGGAGTTGAAAGTACGGAATATTCAAGTGCGAGAGGAATGATAATTTGACGGTCTAAGCGCCCCTTCCATTGTGTCAAGAACTTAGTACTGAGTGGTTGTTACAACGATGAGAGCCAACCCATCCAACCCACCCGATCGCAACAGCCGATAATTTATGGTCAATTTGGAAAACCTGGCATCAAGGACACTTAGACGTCATTTTCGTTGCAGAAAAGGGAAGAGGACGGGATTTGCCGGTCCCCGCCCCAACCAAAAGTCTAAATGAGACTGGTCGAAGAAGGATGAAATCAGCCAAGTTTCACATAAGAGGTTCTAGCCGTGATACATCGAAATGACAATGAGTGAGTGAGGAGGAGCTTCGTCGCGGGGCGTGTGTGTCTACTACTGTATTGTGGTGACTACCCATGTCCTTCTCAAACGAGGCTCTAGAGATCGTCGTCTGTCCATCGCTATAGAACAATCTTCTATGCTTCGATTCTTCCAGCCCGCCTTTGCCCTTCACCCCTAGCAAGGGTTCTCGGGACTTTATTTTTCTCGTGGTTTATAGTCAGTTCAAATGATGATCAGTCATATATGATCTGCCCTCAGCCCACTCATTCTCCTTTTTATCCTACCAGAGATTGAGATTGGTGTGCATCAAGGGGGCAGGCAGCGGCAGTCCGGAAACAGATGTGTGACTCTCTCTTTCTCTCTCTGGTCTGGAAACAGAACAAGTCTTTTGCTGTAGGTGCAGGGGTCGGAAAGTGGTCAATAATCTAATGGGATCTCCGAATGGACGTGGTGTGTGTGTGTGTGTGTGTGTGTGTGTGTGTGTGTGTGTGTGTGTGTGTGTGTCGTGTTGGTACGAGTATGATCGAGGCAACCCTCCTCAAATTCACGCACAGTACCTGCAGGATCATCAGATCTGAGGTAGGAAACCTCCCTGTCGCAGTCTTCCCCTTGAGCTGAGCTCAGCGCTCACTCATGTCAGTCACGGAGCATACTGAGTACAGCACATGGTTGGGAAGCAACCTCAAAAGACGTTGATACTTCTAGCTTGGTTCTCCCAAGCGATGACGCTATGCTCTGTCTCCCAATCAATAGTAAGTAATGCAATATCGGTGGGCGTCGAGGTCGAAGGGGAAAAAGTATCCACTGCGGCATGGAACAATAATAGTTGTCGGTATTAAGGGCAGATTGATGTTGGGCACACAATTTGGTTGGACTGGAACTGATTTTGTGCCCCGCCCTTCCTAGCGCGCCACTAACCGTTCCATCCTGTAGGTAATAAGGTATCATTTTATTATTATTCATTATTCTTGTCGGTTTGATTATTATTACCATCATCCATCCTGCAAACTTCCCACTTCCACACTACTGATGATTCTTCTTATTCCCAGTGAATCGCCGAAGTCCGGGGCAGCTCAGACATTTTAATCTATCTGACCTACTTAATTACGATGATGCTAATTTGTTTTTAGTCTCCGGCCGGGGACGGGAACCCAGAAATGATTAAGACCATATTCGAGACCTTCGGCTCCCTGAGTCGTAGGGAGCGCTATACCTACCCTCCTGGGCCTTTTTCTCGTCCAAAGTGACGGAAAGGAGTGGAGTTGTACCAGAGAAAATGGGAAGAGCATCAATCAGTCAGTTCGCGCTCCACATCTCAACATGCAACTGGGGTCGAAAGGACGTGTCTAGAATTTTTCTTCTCTGGTTGCCCGTTCGGAGGCACTGCTCACTACACACTACACAGTATATCTGAGTCTGAAACAGATGATGTACGCCTTTTTTACGGGGGGTCAACAAAAGTACCGGCCAGTATTGTATGTATTAGGGTTTATATTATACTGGCAGCAGTGCAAATACCTACCTACGTTACGGAGCACCGATATCCCCTTTTAGACAAGCCGTCATTGCTTGTTGTGATTGAGAGGAGATAGGTACTAGGTACAGAGTAGTCTCCCAGCAGTTGTATGGGTTGGACAAGGGACAACGTCCTCCCACGGCGCTGGGGTTATGATTGGAATGTTGACCGCCCGATTACTTTTAGTATGTAGTAGGTGCAGTGGCACTGCTATACTACCTAACTTAGGACTCAGGAGTCTAGGACTACCTTGTCTACTCCGTAAGTCAGTACCGTAGTTTTAATACCAGCCGCTGCCATCTGTGGCTGGACCCGTTGTTGTAAAAATCATACAGAACGACGGGCCGTTTTAGCACTCGCTTCAATAATCAATCGCTTGCTTCCTCCTCCACCGTTCAATCTAGTCTACCGGCTGCTGCTGCTGCTACTGCTACTGCTACTGCTACTGCTGCTGCTCTTGCTGCTCCTCCCCCCCTCCTCTCTCCCTCCACCTCGCTCTCGAATCGCCCACCTCCCCCCACCTCCCTTCTAACCCCCCAACCCCCTCTCCCTCTTCCTTTCTCTCCCATCGTCATTGCTGGCCGTCCTTCTCGGTGACTGTTATGTTATTACTTTTCTTGGTATTGCAGATTTGTGTGCTGAGCTGTCGGTTATCTGCAGTGCATCCTGCATTCAACAGAATTAAATTCCATCACTGACGTTTTGTTGTTCTTGATACTTTTCATTATTTCACCTATTTTTTGGTGAATTATTCCTTGAGGTTTCTGTTACCATACCAAACCTTTCTTTCTCTTTTGTCTGCGTTGTCTGATCTCCCTCTCTCCTTTTACCCGTTACCACCACCACCGACAAGTCAGACAGAAACAGACACAGAGATTAGACAGGTCAGTCAACCTCAGTCACCGCCTAGTTAATGCTCTCTCTCCACGTGCTAACTACTGGTTGACGGTAGCCCGCGGCAGCTTCTTTCGCGCCCTCCCTTGCGTCTGTCCAAGTATTCTGGATCCCTCTCACATATCTGATTCCTCCGTCGCTGCTCCATCAGAATTCACAACCCCCCCTCCTTCTCCCCGTTGGGGCTATCGATCTGACCGTGCAGCATTGCACCCACCCCTCCCCTCCCCGCCAGAAGTCCCCATTCGACACCTATCGTCGACAAAAGGTGATCGGTAGTGAAGAAGCACAGTGCGCACCGCCTCACTCAGTGGCTTCCCCTCTTCCTCCAATCAAACCTCAGTCTTGGTCGCTCAACCCTGCTGCCACCAGTCGCTCGAACTGTCACTCCACCTCTCCCTTACCCCCCCCCCCCCCCTCCCCCCCCCCCCCCCTATACCGCACGTCATGAATCACGATAGTTTCTCTTCCCTAAAATTTCGACGGTCGTCAAGCAAGCTTCACAAAGACCCTCCAAGCTTCACGTCCCGCATCTTGAAGAGTCAGCAGAGCAACACCTCCCTCAAACGTCACCCCTCAGCCCCCGTCTACCCTCGTTCCGCTGCCGCTGCCGGAGGTCGAGAGCACACTCGGACGAGATCGAACGCATACGGATCATCCTCATCCTCCCTCGAGCAGAACAGCGGTAATCCTTCTCCAGCACACTCTGGCAACGAGTCGGGCTATTTTCCGACCAGCAATAATTCCTTCAAGTCCCGCCCTCCCCCCGCCGGCCGATTTTCTCTCAGTGAGCAGAGCTCAGATGAACTGATTGGCACCCCATTTGATAGTCGGGGCATGCTCAGCTCTTTGAAAGAGAATTCGACCGAGTCTGATCCCGTTTCCGAAAAGCCCCCGACCTTGCGGTCGGCCACAAGCCCTGAAACCCGAGGATTAAGACAGTCGGCTAGCCTGGCTACCTTACAGAGCCGAATGGAGACGTTTGTGCACAGGGCGACCGACAATGACCGCTCGGTAAATCCGAAGCGTCTCTCCGACGAGGGTAACACAACGACCAGGCCATTTGCGGGCAGAAGCAAGAAGAGCAGTTTTTCCAGCTTTGTCAACAGTATGCTCGGCTCCCCACGAGGCATCAAAATCTCCGCCCCGGAGAACCCCGTCCACGTCACTCATGTCGGCTACGATAACCAGACCGGCCAGTTTACTGGTCTCCCGAAAGAATGGCAACGATTATTACAGGAGAGCGGTATCTCTAAGAAGGAGCAGGAAGAGCACCCCCAGACCATGGTTGATATCATGAGATTCTATGAGAAGAATGCCCGGGGTGATGATGAGGTTTGGCACAAATTTGACCATGCATACCCGCAACACCAGTCAGCAGCCAGTCCGGCCTCCGGCACGGGTTCCTACGGTCCTGGCGCGCAGCGAGTCTCCCCCCCAACAAGTCCTCGATTCCCTCAGAACCATGAAGGCAGCTTCGAAAACCCCCGGGCGCCACCTCCGATTCCTCGCGGTGCTCCTGCAGCAGGCCAAGCCATGTCACCATCGGTGGGTGGATTCGTTCCCAACCGGGCCCCGCCAAAGCCCCCAAGCGCAGGCACGATCACCCCAGCTCGCCCCGCTCCTCAACCTCCTTCCGCAGCTACCTACGCTGCAGCACCGGTCCGCGCAGCTCAGGATGCTTATGCTCAGGCCTATGCAACACCGCCAATTCCGGAGACAGAGCCTTTACCCAAGGAACAACACCCGCTAAGCAGATCCAACTCCAAGGCAAATGGTACGCCCGTGCCCTGGACAGCGCCATCTCCGGCTCAGTATCAGCAACAACAGGAGCAAGCCATGGCTGCAGCCCAGCAGGCGATTGTCAGTAAACAGCTTGAGCGGAGCCGCAGTCAGCGTCAGCAGCAGGCCGCTCAGAAGCAAGCATCGCAGCAAGCACCTCCTCAGCACATTACTCCCGTGGAAGAGACATCTGCTTCGATGCAGCAGGCACGTGCGGCTCCGGCTGCCGCTGCCGCTGCCGCTGCCGTCGGCGCCGCCCCCGCTGCTCGTCCGCGGCAACGGGCCCGCCAGAGTAACATCATGGACGTTAGACAACGACTACTCGCGATTTGCACTCCCGGCGACCCGACTAAGCTTTACCACCACCTTAACAAGATTGGCCAGGGAGCATCGGGCGGCGTTTTCACCGCGTATGAAAATAACTCCAATAGTTGTGTCGCTATCAAGCAGATGAATCTGGACTTGCAGCCCAAGAAAGATCTTATCATCAACGAAATCTTGGTCATGAAGGACAGCAAACACAAGAACATCGTCAACTTCCTGGACAGTTATCTTCACGGTCTGGACCTATGGGTGGTGATGGAATATATGGAAGGTGGCAGCTTGACAGATGTGGTCACGTTCAACATCATGAGTGAAGGGCAGATTGCTGCCGTGTGCAGAGAGGTAAGCTATAACGCCTGTTGCTAGTCGTTGTTTCAAAGGCTGACATCTGTAAGACTCTGAGTGGTCTGCAGCATCTTCACTCCAAAGGTGTCATCCACCGTGATATCAAGTCGGACAACATTCTGCTATCTTTGGATGGCAACATCAAATTGAGTAAGTTGTTTCTTCCATGTTTGGTGTTTACCGGACGATCTGTCTAAATTTACTTCTAGCCGATTTCGGTTTCTGTGCCCAGATCAACGACTCGCACAACAAGCGAAACACTATGGTGGGCACGCCGTATTGGATGGCACCAGAAGTCGTTACCCGAAAGGAGTATGGCCGCAAGGTCGATATCTGGAGTCTCGGAATCATGGCAATTGAGATGATTGAGGGCGAGCCTCCTTATTTGACCGAGTCGCCTCTGCGAGCGCTGTACTTGATCGCAACCAACGGAACGCCCACGATCAAGGACGAACACAACCTGTCTCCTATTTTCCGGGACTTCTTGCACCTTGCACTCAAGGTGGACCCCGAGAAGAGAGCGTCTGCTCATGACCTGCTTAAAGTATGTCGAATGTTTTTCCTCTGGCTGTTTGATCCCTTGCTAATTGAGTGTCAGCATCCGTTCATGTCCCTCTGCGCCCCTCTGTCACATCTGTCGCCGCTGGTGAAGGCCGCGCGAGCCAACCGAGCGCAAGAAAAGGCTCAAAAGGGGGGTGCCTAGGTACCGTGACTTTTCACTGTTACTATATACGTCGATATCTTCTGTCTTCTCTCTCTCAGATACCCATGACTCCCGATGTTTTCATATTTGCTGGACATCTTATGCTGGCATCGCATAATGACCAACGTCTTTTTCATCCTTCTCTGTTTCTTCCTGCGGATCTCCCTTGATTTTCTAGACGGCGATGGATTCTTCTTGTGATGACCTTTCTTTCATCCTACCTTTTGTTGCGGTGCTTGTGGAGCTGGAGGTCTGGACCCTTCGCCCATCGAACACATGCACATGTACCTCGACGGCATGGCTGGACTTCCCAGGTCAGCCAGTGGAACGGTGGAAAAATTGTTTGTAAATTTCTCTACTTCCGGCATTTGTCCTTGTGCGAAATTCATACTAGTGAACTTACCGGGTTGCTTCTCCAACTACGGTTCGAGTCGAATATGTCGTTGTGCCACATTCCGAGTGACAAGTCTGCACTTGCATGTACTAGCAGTGTCTTCCCGTTTCCATATCGATGCGATGGTGCCCTCGGGGTTTTCTTGCTTTCGCGCAAGCCGGTGATGATTTCTGAGGCATTTTCTGGCATCCATTCTTCATGACAAAAGAACAAAAGCATGAACTTGATTCGATTTGTTTGATCTGCTTTGTGATTCTGTTGAGATAGCGACAGTTCCTACTGCTGCATCGGCTGGCTTCCAAGCCATATTACCCTCGGAAACCCGAGATAACTTTGCTACGGCTCCTTCTGTACCGTTCTACGTTGGGTGAATAATAATGGATTGTGTTCATAGAGTTCAGTGCCATATGTGGACTGAGGGTGTTCGTTCAGTCTGGATCTTCTTTGTAGTACTACTTCGTACTTGGTACTAGTAGTAGCATAACTTATCATGGATATCGTCATCGGGAGCTCAGGGCAGTACCAGGACCGCACTAGACCCGATTAGGCGACAGCTCTCCGCCCTGGGGCGGCGCGATCCCTCCGTCGTCACCTGCTGAGCATTCATCAGGTTGCAGCCTTCGTGCTTCCAGTTCTCACTTTGTCCCCCCGTTCTTGTCCTGCTCACCTTACTGTGGTGTTCATAATTTCTTACAGTGCTCATACTTGCAGTGTTGGTACATACTTCTACTACACCTCCCGACTCCAACCACTGCTACCGCTTTCTCCTCACCCCCTAATTCATACCTACTACGTATTTACAACACTTCCGCAACTGCATCATCGAGGCTGTACCTCCCCGCAATTGGGTATTCGGACTCCAGTAAACGAGCAAAGCCACTCGCTCCACCGAAACCACGAGTCATTGCCTTGACACTCCTTCCACCACTACTACTCCTTCATTCACTTCATCTCGTTTCCTAGTGGCGCAAGCGCTGCCTTCATACCCTTCCACTCGCTACTCGAACGGCGCATTCCCGCCACCTCTCCTACCTCTCTCCGATCGCCTCACCGTGGTGCTCTGAGGCACAACACTCGAAATGTTCCGCGCGCAGCAGAATGCTTTCGACGACGCAGTCGGTCAGTGACAGCCTGTCCGATTCACTCTCACTTTGTCTTTCATGACGCCCACCTACCTCGCTTAAGCCCTCTCTGATCGATGTCGCTGACGTATTCAACTTCCCGCAATAGCCAAGGCGACCGACGAGAACCTGACCGCCGAAAACTGGGAGTATATTCTGGTACGCTTTTCTCCGGCAACATGCTAGATTATTTTGTCTCCGGGGAGGTTTTCTGACAATCTGGCGCATAGGATGTTTGTGACAAGGTCGCTGCGGAGGAGTCTGGGTATGGTCCCGCTTTTTTTTCCCCTCTAGTTGTGTTCTCGAAGAGGGATTGGGGCTGACGAGTGGGTTGGGGGTGATTGTTTAGTGCGAAGGATGCCGTGGCCGCTTTGATCAAGAGGCTTGCGCATAGAAATGCCAATGTGCAGTTATATACTTTGGAGGTTCGCGGTCCTTGACACGGTTGATTCTGCTGAGTGGTGGGAGGGCTTGATCGGTCGAGGCATACAGTGCTGACGCTTGTATTGCTCGAATTTTTTTAGTTGGCCAACGCTTTGGCGCAGAACTGTGGGCCAAAGATTCACCGTGAACTTGCGTCGAGAAGTTTCACAGATGCCCTGCTGCGTCTAGCGGGCGATCGGGTGAGTAACATCGCACTTTTGCTGTGTATCGCTGGAAAGGTTACTGATGAGTTTGGCGCGCCCGACAGAACACACATCAACAGGTCAAAGCGAAGATCCTGGAGCGCATGCATGAATGGACGGAGATGTTTGCTAGTAACCCCGATTTCGGGATCATGGAGCAGGCGTACATGAAGTTGAAGACGCAGAGTAAGTCAGGGGAAACTAGTCGGGATGACGTGGAGGCTTACATGGGCTTTGGCTCTAGATCCGAACTTGCAACCTCCTTCGAAACCAGGCAAGAGAGAGATCACCGAGGCAGATCGCCAGAAGGAAGAAGAGGAGTTACAGATGGCCCTTGCGCTCTCGATCAGGGAGAAACCCTCCGCGGCTCCTCAGACCCAGCCGCAAGCCAGCAGCTCCAGTGCCGCAGCCCCCGTCAGTGAGTCTCCGGTGGCTGCACCAGCCCAGCCTGTTCCCTCCGGAACCTCCGCGGCCACGGTGTCGCGGGTGCGGGCACTATTTGATTTCCAGCCCTCCGAGCCCGGTGAATTGCAGTTCCGCAAGGGAGATGTTATTGCTGTTCTGGAGTCGGTTTACAAGGATTGGTGGAAGGGTTCCCTGAGGGGCCAGACGGGAATTTTTCCTCTCAACTACGTCGAGAAGCTGCCCGACCCTACGGTTGAGGAGTTGCAGCGCGAAGCTCAGATGGAGGGGGAGGTCTTCGGGCAGATCAAGAATGTCGAGAAGCTTCTCACACTTCTGAGTACTCGCAGTTCCGAGCTCAATGTGCAGGACAATGAGGAAATCACGACTCTGTACCACTCGACCTTGGCAATCCGGCCGAAGTTGATCGAGCTCATTGGCAAATACTCCCAGAAGAAGGGTAGGTGTTCTTACACCCGGTATTTGGCATTTGCACTTGCTGATTGGACTGTAGATGAGTTTACGCAGCTCAATGAGAAGTTCATCAAAGCCCGCCGCGACTACGAATCGCTCTTGGAGGCGTCGATGTCCCACCCTGCACAACCCCAGTATGGACGGCCGGCTCAAGCTCCTTACGGATATCCGGCTCCGGTAGGATATCCGCAAGCCCCGCCCCAGGCTGATCCTCAGCGATACTTCAGTCCCCGTCCTTCAGGTTCGCCTAACACTTCCCCCATCGGGTGATCCCGCCATCTAACATAAGAACAGAAGCCCAACCTGCGCAGCCCACTCCTACCCCTTACTATGGAGGAGAACAAGCTCACGCGTACCCCCCCACTTCACAATCCCCTGATCCGCGGGTCACACCTCCCGCGGGCGCCCCGTATCAGCAACAGCAGCGCCAGTCCTCGAATGAGTTCTACCAGCCCACACACCACCGCCCCGAATCGACATATGACAATCCCCAAGAACTGAGCACTTCTGTCTACGACTCTCCTGTCGAACATCGCCCTCAGTATCCCGGACAAGTCATACCGCCATCTTCTGCGCAGCCACCTTTCCCGGCTCAGCAACAGCAACAGCAACAGCAGCAGCCGGAATTCCCACCATCTTCTTACCCTCCTGAAGACGCCAACCGACCTCCAGCCGGAGCCAGCGCCCCCCACCACCAAGCACAGCCCCCCTATCCCACCCATCAACCAGCTCCGATGCACCAGCCTCCTCCAGTGCCAGGCACAGCATCCACGCCCACACCCTACCCTTCTCTGACCCCCGGCGGAGGCTCTTACCAGGCATACAGCCCCTCGCAAACCGATGTGTCCAACCCTGCTTCGTACTACCGGTAAAGCATGTTTGATATTGAGTTGACGGACTGTTGTGGTATGGGAGGTTTTCTCCTCCTGGTGTTCCTTGCTTGTTGATCAGGCTCGCAGATCGGGTAATGGAGAGGCGGTTTGGAACTGTTTCAGTAGTATGAGCTTTAGCAAGAAGATGTTTGAGCTTTTCCAGTTTCATACCACTTTGTGTTCCATAGCGTTTGTTTTCTGTTGTTGCAAATGATTTTCTATTTGGTTTTGATGATCGTGGCGGTTTGTATGGAAGAATGACCCAACATGTCACGTAGCATGTAGAGGGTGGAATTCTGGTCATCGCTCTACATCTCAGTATGGATTATTAGTGACCTAGATCTTAGGTAGTCTATCCGATCAGGTCAATCAGGCTGCAGCTCAGGAGTGGCCCAATCAAGCCCAGACGCGCGACACTGCATCGATCCATAAGTGCACTACAGCTAACCACTTAAGGCTCAGTGCTTACGCGCTTGAACGTGGAAGAGAAGCTACCTAACCTTTGGAGCCTTCTTAATTTCACCACCTTAACGGCCTCAACAATCATCATGGTCAAGAAAGCTGAGTTACGGCGGAGTTGCACCTTCTGTCGCGCCCGCAAGATCGCCTGTTCTGGCGAGCGCATTTGCACGGCATGTCGCGATCGGTCTATTGAATGTATTTATGGCCTGGAGGGGGCCAAGGGTCGTCCTCGCCTGGGTAAAACCTCGCCAGGTATACCTCCTGCTGCTACTGCTGCTTCTCCTGCTCCTACTACGGCTGCGGCTGCTGCTGCTGCTGTTACCACCACTACCATCAGCCTGGCAGCAGAACTGGATATTATGTCTCGCGAGAACTTCAGTGATGATGACTCCACTGCCCCTGCTCCATCGAATATATTCCTAAGACCGGGTAGCCACCTTTAATCGGCGTCTTATGGCAGGGAGAACCAACAGCCCTCAGCGCTCTGCCTCCGCTCCGACAGGGAGTACTCAGTTACTCGGGCTTTTTAGCTCTGGTCATGCAAGAGTTGATTGAAACTGTCGCCGTCAAATTCAGCAACCTAGGCTGTCATCCCTTCCTCGGACCCGGGGAGAGTTTTTATCACGCCTCCATGCTGCAGGACACTACCAAGGCGATGTTCGATAGTCCCCCGGCCTCCTCCTCAGACCTAGATATATGGGATGACTATAACCCGCATCTCACCTCGCAGTATCTCGAGGTCTGATTCAGTAATCATCCCTTATCGATCCTCATCTCCAAGTCACTTCTTCTCCGCGACCTGCGCAGCCAGAAGGCCAATCGGATATTGTTGGCAATCCTGCTGGCGGACGCCCATCACTTTGCCGAGGAACCTAGCAAGGGAGATCGCCTGGTGCAGTGGGCCATCGCGCAATTACCCAGTGTTCCTGCAGGGAAGGGGGATCTCACCACCGCGCAGAGTCTCCTACTTCTGGGCTGGTACCATGCCTGCCGCGGGCACTCGCGCCGGGCATTATGCTATGTGGGATACGCAGGCCGTATCATCACGACGTTGAAGTGCCAACTGTCAGAGTCGTCTTCAGCCGGGCAGACGCACATCAAGGTGTTGATCACGGCGCAGTCGAGGCAGAGCTACTTCACAATATATGCTGGGTGATGTTGGCCCTCACGCTATGGTCGTATCTCCAGATGGATATGCCTCTGGTAGATCTCCTGCCCGCGCGGCTCATGCAGGTACTTCCTGCCATTTCAGAGGCCGAGTCGATTATGCTCCAACTCGATCGAGCAACCGAGAACCTCTCTACCCTGAAATCGCAGTTCTCTTCCTTGCAGTCGGTGTGGCTGCTGGCACATGTCACCTCGCTGAGCGCGCGTCTGTACGCCGCCTATCCACGGCTCCAATGCAGCCCGCCGGTGCCGCAACCGTGGCAAGAGTCGATACTGCACCGGCTCGATCGCCTCCTGCACCAAGGCCGCAGTCTGGCGCAGGTTTGCGCGGGGGTCCGTGACGCCCTACTGGACATCGTTGCGACGGTGCAGCACGAATCGGGTGATAGCTAGGGTGGTCCGATACTGGTTGTTTTCTATCAGGCTGTTGCTTTGCGTCTAATCTTCCCACGAAAAGAGATGGGAAACGACACCGCCCAGGTTCTTGTCCTCAGCGACTCGCTCTTTGAACGGCTCACAACCTCTATGCATGCTTTGAAGCAGCTGTTCCCCGCGATTCAAGCCCTCTCGCAACATTACTTTGGCCACGCAGCTAGCACGGACTCCGCCTCGCTTCATTTCTACATGCTTGGCCTGGACGCTGTCAGTCGAGCTCTCATGTATATCCTCACTCTCTGGGACCGTGCCACGACGGTGGAGCAGCAGCTCTGGCGGGATAGGCTTCTCAGGCTTTTAGAAGGGGGGCTGATGATGCAAGAGCTCTTCGATCACGAGACTCTCTTAAGGGATTGCCGATGGCGCGCAGTAAACCGTCAGCTCAAGACCGCTTGCAGCAGACTCGAGGGGGTGATTTTCAGCTTCCGAGATCAGTCCTGCCACAGCTTTTCTGGTGCATTGGACCTCAATCTGCCTTTGCAGCAGACATTGGCCGCGGACAATCCCATCACAGCGCCGGTGTCTTCGTGCTCGTCGTTCGTGCCCGTCGCCCATGATGCGGACTTCGAGTGGCTGGACTTGCAAGACGTCACGAGCCCCCCAACCACGGCGTCCGATTTGCGAGACTTCGGCCTCGCATCGTTGGCCAAGCTCGTCCCCGTTCTGTCATTGAATCCGTTTGACTCCCTGCCCGGCGTGACTGGGCCATCCTGTCTGGTTCAACCAGGCCGGACTGCTCTGCCATTTTGCCTGTCATGGGACGATGCAATCATGAATTCTGTACTTCAACCGGTGAGCGTCATGCCACCGCCGTCGTCGGTCTCGCTGGGTGGTCTTGGTCCGAGGGGCCAGGAGAGCCAGAGGAAGCGATCGTCGAACGATCTCAGCGGTGTAGAGGAGGGGGGTGCGTTGGGGATGAGCCGGGTAGAGGAACCGAAGACGAAGCGATTAAGGGAGTTGCGCTCACATAGCGCCTCTCATTAAGCAGGCGTGTATTGGATGGTGTTGTCGGTGTAGATGTCTGTCCTCGGTATTAGTTGCTGAGGAGGTCGTAAGCTGACGCTGCTCGGACTTTGTATGGGTTGTTTTTCTATGGCTGATTAAACCTCCGTCGTGCCACGGAGATCCGGCGGGATATCGTATACAGTATATGCCTATTCATCCCCAGTCACAGCAACGGCAAGTCTGGGTTGAAGAGGGCCGGGCGAGTTGCAAGGATGACCGTCAAGTGTCAAACTTCTCAACAAGTGCTTCACGATTGACTACTTGATCTTTGCAAGACACCATGGACATGCTAAGCGCGTACGGAGGCGTTTGATATTGTTGATATCGATGGTCCGGAGATAATGCTACGGAGCATTAGGGACTGCGCTGTGGTCAGAGGGCACTCAGGTGCCCGTATTGATCCCAGTACTTCGGACATAAACTCTGTGTGCCCTTTTTATTCGAGAATCCAAAGCAAAGGATTGCTAGGAATTGGTGTGTGCAACTTGCACTGTAACCGGTAGCCCTGATGCTTGGCCCAACCCCAAGGCACCTGCTGCTGCATTTGCTTCTGATCCAGGAAATCAAGTATGGTGATTTGGAACCAGAATCACAAGTTATTCGTGTAGTTGGCATCGGCATCGGCATCTATATCTTCTTGATATACCGTCTTATCATGAAGCCAATAAGCACGTCATTAGCGCTGCTTAGGGCGATAGCTAGCTACCTGGGTAGTTAGCTGACACCAACCTAGCTGTGCCTGTGCATCCTGGTCACCTCAGTTGATTAATCCTTCGAGTACCTACGCAGAAAGCCATGACCCAGTTCTACGCCCCCGAAACCCCCGATCGCGTCAAAAACGCCACCGTACACCCTCTCTCTCTCCCTATCCAAACACTCTCAAATACTAATAATACAAGAAGGGCCTCCACCTCATCACCGCTTTAACCCCCAACGGCCGCAAAGCCCACATCTACCTCGAGGAGCTGAAAGAAACCTACGGCCTCCCCTTCACCATCAGCCTCATCGACCTCGACACGAACGAGCAGAAGAAACCATGGTTTCTGCGCTTGAATCCGAATGGTCAGCTTGCTTGCTTGCCTTTGCCCTTCCCCAACCCCCAACAATCCCAACTCCACATGCACCAAGGCACTGCACTACATGCAACAACCAAAGTCCCCTAACCTGTGAGATAGGCCGCATCCCCCTCCTAATCGACAACACCACCACCCCGCACCCGCACGTCGTCATGGAGTCCTCCGCTATCCTGCTGTACCTGTTCCATCAGGTCGACCATTCCCAACAATTTGGGTTCGCGGACCCGCTGCAGCAGAGTCAGCTGCTGCAGTGGCTGGTCTTCTGGGGTGCGTCGGGGCAGATGGTTCAGGGGCAGTGGAATTATTTCCGGCGGAACCAGGTCGAGAATGATCGTGAGTTTCGCCCTGACTCTTGAAATCGGTGGTTCGGCTCGACTGCTTGGGCTCTAATGCTGGCCATAGACGCGAAGAAGCGTTTTCACGATGAATTACTCCGCGTGTATCACGTCCTCGAAGCGCATCTCGCGGGACGGTATACGGATCCCGGACTGGGAAGGGAGTACCTGGCGGACCAGGGGAAGGGGAAGTATACGTTGGCGGATATCAATGCTTGGCCGTGGGTGAGGAGCTTTAGGGCTGTTGGGCTGGAGGAGGAGGAGTTGGACAGGTTGCCTGCGCTTGCGGCGTGGGTGGATAGGGTTGGCGGGCGGGCGGCGGTGCAGAGGGGCGCGTTTGGGGAGGCGTATGATGAGGGGTTGTCGCCTGAGTTGGTGATTAGGACGTGATCTACACTGTAGGTTAGTTAGGGGGTTGGGGGGAAGGGTGGTTATCATTCTTGCTTCTGGCAGCTGGATGGTGGGTTGCGTGGCGGTGGTAACAGTATACTGCCCTTATCCAGCGATATGTATGCATGTTGAAGTTATACAGGTTGTTAATTCAGTTTGCCTGTAGGTGTATATGACCGATCTAACCTTTTATACATTGTATAGTACACAGGTATGTCCGGAATTGCTCTAATATATAGAACGTACAGAACAGCTTTTGTTACTGTTTTCTGCCACGGCTTTGTGGTGGGATCACTTCAGTTTATATATCTTATGGCTCAATATATCATTACTGAGGATTCGCGAAGGATGTCATGTCAGTATGCAGTAGATACTGGATATGTTCCGAGAACATAGTAAGTATTAGATCACATCTCGAGGTGACTCACTGATGAGATATGGATGCTGCTGCTGCTGCTGCTGGCAATAAGTTACTCTTTATTCCTCGTCCCTCCCGCCTGCCTCGCTCACGTGACGATGTGTTGGTCTCCCTCACCCTCTATTGCCGTTCTCAAGACCTCGTCAAATCCGCTCGACCCCAGAGGCACTTCGTCTCTTAAGTCGCCGTTGATTAAGAGAGCCTCGAGCTGCTCGACTGACTCGACGCGACATTCTTTCCCTGCGCCTTGTGTCACGACACCCCAGATTCCCAACCTTTACCACCATCCACCACCACCACCAAAGCTCTATCCCCCGCACTCGCGCTTCCGCCGAACCATGCACCTTGTCGCCTGTTCCCAGATGGACATCCCCCAAATCTACTGCTGAACATCCCGACCCAGCTCAAACCTCCCCCAAACATCCTTAAGCCCGGGTATCTGCCCGGGTGCCATGTCAAGCCATGGAAGCTGATTGGGATGAATTGTCGCGCATACCCGTGCCCCCTCCAAGTCCGCACGGGTTGCCGACGGTCGCGACCACAATAGCCTTTGACGATGTGATGGAACTTCTGTGGGCCGGAAATGAATATGTACGCCCGATCGACTCTTGACATACCGCTGGCGATACTGATCTAGCTTCTGACTGCTTAGGGCCGAATTACCTCCTTCTACGGTCCCGAAATGCAGAGGTATACCTCTGTTCGGGCACACCCCGTGTCCGAAGGCGCGGTGCGACAGATCCTCTTCCATGAGAGAGGCGTGTTATCGATCTCCTCGAAGAGTGCACACATGATCACCCGACGCGGCCTTACGCAGTGGCACATCGCCCACGAAGAGATGACCGACCTTCGCTGCATGAGTTTTACCGCACAAACGAACCGGATCATCGTGGCCGGATGCCAGAAAGTCATGTTCACCATCGATATCGACAAGGGGATTATTGTCGACAAGTTGCCGACGGATTACAACTACACCATGATGAAGAAGAGCCGGTATCTCTGCGCGGCCACCGACACCGGCTCCGTCAACGCGCTGAGTCTGAATGACTTCAGCGTCGTCAAGTCGTGGAAAGCCCACGGCACCGCCGTCAACGACATGGATGCGCGGAACGATCTGCTGGTCACCTGCGGCTTCTCGGTCCGACACCTGGGGGCCCCGATCGTGGACCCCCTCGCCAATGTCTACGACCTGAAAACCCTCTCCCCGTTACCCCCGATCCCCTTCCACGCCGGTGCCGCCTACGTGCGCATGCACCCGAAGCTGCACACGACGAGCTTCGTCGCCTCCCAGACGGGCCAGCTGCAGGTCGTGGATCTGATGAATCCCAATGCGATCAACCTGCGGCAGGCGAATGTTTCTTTCATGCTGGGCATCGACCTCTCGCCGTCGGGAGAAGCGCTCGCCATCAATGATGCGGAGTGCCAGATTCATCTGTGGGGCTCCCCGGCGAAGGTGCACTTCAACGAGATGAGCAAGGAAATCGAGTTTGCCGATGTCACGCCGCGGGCGCCGCCGGTCGACTGGTCTCCGGAAACGCCCCTGAATATGATCGGGATGCCGTATTACCACGACCGGCTGTTCTCAGCGTGGCCGAGTCATCTCGTTTTCGAGGTCGGTAGTCCCCCGGCCCCCGTCGACCAGGCTTTGCTCGCCTACCTACGTCCGGCCGAGATCGGCCATTACGCGGCGAACCCGAAGAAAACGCGGCGGTATCAGGTGGAGAACACCCGCGCATTATCTACGGCGGACACGGCTCTCATCGCTCCTAAATTCTTGAGTGAGAAGGCCAGGGAGCAGAGCAAGGTCAAGTCCGATGGTTCCGTCAGCGACACAACGGAGGCCTTGGCTGGTGCGAAGCTCAACGGTGAAGCTGAAGACGACCCGCTTCTGAAATACAGTAACGTCGAAATCAAGTACAGTCGATTTGGTGTTGATGATTTCGACTTCCGGTATGTCAGACAGCATCTCTTGGTACACTCTCATGCATGACTAACGTAGCTCAGATTCTATAACCAGACGACCTTCTCTGGTCTCGAGACACACATTGCGAACTCCTTTACCAACGCTCTCCTTCAACTCTTCAAGTTCATCCCGATGATTCGCAATGTTGCGCTCCATCACGCTGCTAGCTCTTGCATATTCGAGAGCTGTCTTCTGTGTGAGATGGGTTATCTATTCGATATGCTCGAGAAAGCCAACGGGCAAAATTGCCAGGCGACCAATCTCCTGAAGACCTTCAGTAGCTCTCGTGAAGCGTCCAGTCTGGGTCTATTTGAGGAGAACTTGACGACCAAGTCTCTTTCCACGGCCATCCAAGCGGTCAACAGGTTCTTTTTGACACAAATCTCTCACGACCACCGGATGATCTTACCCAGCTCGGAAGAACTCGATCAGCGACTCAACACCGTTGCCTCTGAGACTATACGATGCATGTGCTGCCAGAACGATATCGTCAGGCCTGGGAATTCCCTGGTTAACGAGCTGGTGTACCCCGCCATTGACCTAAAGCAAATTCGCCGGAACCCTGCCTTCCGCTTTTCCAACATCTTGCGAGCCAGCATAGAGCGAGAAACCCAGAATAGAGGATGGTGCAATTTGTGTCGGCGGTACCAACAAGTGAAGATCCGGAAAAGCATACACCGTATGCCTCCGGTCCTAATGCTCAACGCGGCACTGAGTAACCCCATCTGTCGGCGCCTGTGGGCTATTCCTGGCTGGCTGCCGGAAGAAATCGGAATTGCGGTCGACAATGGCAAGGCTCTGTGCTTTGAGGGCGATGAGCTCAAGTTGCGACTCCAGTCCAAGATGGCTGGGCTTGTGGTGTATGAACTGGTGGGGTTGGTTTGCGAGATCGACATCCCTGAGCATCAGAAAGCTCATCTGGTCTCCTTCATCAATGTCTCCATATCATCAGCCGAGGCGGACCCTACGAATAAGTGGCATTTATTCAATGACTTCCTCGTGACTGAGGTTGACAGGGATGAAGCCCTCCGATTCAATCAACTGTGGAAAGTACCATGTGTCTTGGCTTACCAAATCAAGGATGGACGTCATTCCATGGACGACTCCTGGAAGAAATCGCTTGATACCACCCTTTTGTTCCGTGATTGGTCTATGAAGTAAGTTTACCTTCGACTTTTTGGTGGCACCTCATTCATTAACGCCCCTCTCCAGTGCTGGCCAAGCCGTGGATTCGCGCGTGACACTTACCGAGGAGGAAAAGCCCACTCCGGGCACCCCTGTTGCGCTGGATACGGAATTCGTCGATCTCGAAAAAGCGGAAATCGATGTCAAGGCAGACGGCTCGCAAGAGGTGGTACGGCCGAACAAGAGTGGCCTGGCTCGGGTGTCTGTTCTCCGAGGCTCCGGGCTTCGCGAGGGCGTTCCGTTCATCGACGATTATATCAACATCAAAGAACCCATTGTGGACTACGTTACGCAGTATTCCGGTATCAAGCCCGGGGACCTCGATCCCCGAACTAGCCCACACAATCTCGTTCCACTGAAAGTGGCATATAAGAAGCTCTGGCTGCTTCTGAATCTAGGCTGTGTGTTTGTCGGGCACGGCCTGGCCTCCGATTTCCGGAAAGTAAACATTCAGGTCCCTAAGAACCAAACGGTGGACACGCAGTATCTGTTCTTCCACCCTGGGAAGAATCGGCGTCTGAGTCTCCGATACCTCGCCTGGGCTGTGTTCAAGGAATTCATTCAAGAAGAGCCCACCGACAACAACAACCAAGGACACGACTCGATCGAGGATGCGCGGATGGCGCTGCGCCTTTGGAAGAAATTCAAGGAGTATGAAGACGCCGGGGTCGTATCCCAGATTCTCGAGGAGATTTTCCGCGAAGGGTCCAAGCTTGGATTCCGGCCGCCCCCCAGGAACGGCACCACGACCGTCCTTTCTCGTCCCGGTACTGCGGTCACGATGCAGAATGGCAGCGGCCGCAACACTCCCAGCACCCCCGACGTTGGAGTCCCCGCCGGCAGCGCGCCTGCAACCCCGCGGCAAGCGTTTCGACGCTCGATCGCGTTGACTCCGAGTAACGGCAGCTTTGCGAGCCCTGCCGCAAGCGACATTTTTGGTGCTAGCCCGTTGAAGTAGGCAGTCGTCGGCTGTTTGATGGAAGCGATAACGGTCTTCCAATCAGGACATGTTTGCTTTTGATTACACTTATACCATGAATCGCTTGATAGAAAGCGACCTTGATTGAGGGGGCTCAATTGACTGTCGCAGTTGGGTATCGCTGACAATTGGCTTGCCATGCTTCGCGCTTTAATCAGAAATAGAAATTACACCTAGATTCAATATTCTCATTGGGGTTTGCTGTAGTGACATGGGTAATTCCTTTATCAAACTGGAACATCATTGACGAATATCTCGGTGACTGGAAGAACTGGTGGTGGGTGGGGAATGACGTGGTTGCGGGAGGATCTCAGATCAACTCAGCTCAGCTCGCGGCTTCCACAAACTCCCCGGCTAATCTCTCTCTCTTCACTATCTCCCCCTTCACTCTCATCAACAAGCCTGTTGATGGGCAAATAGAGTTTCCTGCAAACAACGGCCTAAGTTCTTAGAACATCTGACCTGTTTAGATCTGCTCATCGCACCGGTGCATCCATCCGACTCACTCAGTTCGCCTTCCCCCTCTGAACGAAAACCCCTCCTTCCGCAAAGCTGCTCCGCTCCTCTCGACAGGCGCAACTGACAATCTCACCATGTCGCGC